GTGCTTGGGTGTCGGGGCTCCGAGGCTCCAGCCTGACCTCTCCACGGGGTCGACAGGACTGTCTCCGTACGCCAGGAGTCGTGGCAAAGGGTTGACCAGATTGTTGGAAGCACAGGGGGAGTCCCAGGGAAACAGTGCCGCATCCCAGCCTCAGGCCCGCCCGGAGGCTGTTCGGGTGAGTGTCCCCAGAAGTCGCGCCCCCGGGATCTCGAGGACGGGTCGGCCTGCAGGCCCGTGGGCTGCTCTCTCAACCCAGGGTCGTTCTGGTCGAGGGCCGAACCCCGTAGCCTCAGCGGCTGCCTGGGGGTGTTTGTTTCCGCGCCACTGCAGTATGACTCTCTGTGCGTGTGGATGTGTTTGTGCGTCTCTCATTTGCGCTTCTCTCTCTGTCTCTCACTCTCTGTGAGTTTCTTGCCCTCTCTCTGTCGGCTGGTGTGTGTGTGTGTGTGTGTGTGTGTGTATTTCGAGGAAAGTGCCCCGTGCGCCCAAAAGCGATTTCTTGCCTGTCGGCTGTGTTTGGTGAGCCTCCCTCCGCGTCCGTGCCTGGGTCATGTGTCCGCTTGTCAACCGTTTTGGAGGCGGTTCCACTTTGAGCTTGTGAAGGCCTCGACCACGTGAGGAGATGCGTGACTCCCGGAGCAGTGGAAATCTCATCCCCATCCGGTGCGGCCTCTTTTCATTGATGAAGACCAACACACTGCAGCCGCGGACAAAAGCCGCAGGGAGCTCATCCTCCTGCAGGAGAGCAGGAGGCCCCCATCCCACGAGAGGCTTGGATCTTTTCAGGGCTCCTCTCTGAGAGAAGAAGCCACACCACGACACAGGCTGAAAGAGGAAGCCAGGAATGGGAGATGGCCACAATCCCATGGGATCTGACGGGGGGTCATGAGATGACCCCAGTAGGCGCCCTGAAGCTGCCGCTCCCCCGTTGGAAATCGACTCAACGAGGTCCTGAAGACGGGACCCCTGGGCGTTGGATCCTGGGAGGCCTCCCGCGGCCGCCTCTCCCACGCGGCCCCCTAGTGAACCCCGGATGCAGCCGCTGGCAAGGCGGCAGCAGGAGAGCCCCTGGCGCCCAGCAGTCACCGTTCTTTAAAGGGGACGCAGCCTGACTGCCGGCAACGGAGCGCGTGGCGGCCCAGCCAATGCGCATGCGCGAGTGGCGAGAGGGTGCCCGCGTCACAGTGCTTCCCAGGGTTGACAGAGAAACCGCTCCTTGAGGCCTGGCAAACAGGAGACCTCGGTGGCCGTGCTTGGGTGGCGGGGCTCCGAGGCTCCAGCCTGACCTCTCCACGGGGTCGGCAGGACGTTCTCCGGATGCCAGGAGTCGTGGCAAAGGGTTGACCAGGAGGTTGAAAGCACAGGCGGGGTCCGGGGGAAGCAGCGCCGCATCCCAGCCTCAGGCCCGCCCGGACGCTGTTCGGGTGATTCTCCCCACAAGTCTTGCACCCGTGATCTCGAGGACAGGTCGGCCTGCCGGCCCGTGGGCTGCTCTCTCAACCGA